TTACAGTAGTCAAATTTTGAAAGAATGAGTGAAGAGACGAGAGTTTTTGTGGCATCAAAGGAGAGGAGGTGTCTAATGGTGCTGATTTTTCTAATTTCGTTATATGCTGATCTGCATATATTCGTGACATGTTTGTCCATGGAGAGGGTGTCCGTAAGCGTGACTCCAAGGTTTCTGGCAGAGGGAGAGAGTGTGATGTCAGAGTTGCCAATAGATATAGAAGAAGGAGCGAATGAAGGGAGAGGTTATATATAAGAAATAACAATTTATAATATTCATTTGTTACGGCCAAAACCCCATGTCGGTGGGAAATATCACGTCAAATCAAGGAACTTCTTATGTAGTTGTAAATTAGTGGAATCATATACGATATTATCAATTTTGTAATTTAGCAAACCCGATTCATAAGTTGCAATGGGCGATATGGAAAGATTGGAATCAAATACTTATTAAGAGGTTTTGATTTTGTCTGTATAATTTGACTATATCAAAAACGATGCTTTTATTGACCAAATAAATGGAAATTCATTTTCATTGTTACTAAGTTAATGTTTTTAGTCTTGAAAAACTTTGAATTATTTTTGTTTTGTTGGTTGTCCCATAAAATTATTATTTTTAGCAAGACATTTGCCAAATAATTGCAGGGTCAGAATAAATTTTGAGTGCTTTAGTGTTTTTCATTTATCAGTCTTAGATTTTTGTTTCCGCAAGAAATCTTTTCTTCTCCCAAATTTGTGCATAATACAAATTTCTGTAGCAGACTTTTTTTGGTTGTCTTTATTTTATCTTAACATTTGTTTACAATATATTGTATGTGAATATGTCTTGGTTTATGCCAATGTTGTTTAAACAATCCATTGAACATTTTCCTCACGATACATATACGAGATTATCAGTCCAAATCTGATTCAACACATTTTACAACCCTAGATGCAAGAGAAACCGCAAAAAATTTTAAAAGCTAATTTTTTTTTTTTAAAGGTATAGATTTATTCAGTCTGCTTAAGAGTGGAGTTTTTGAATTAACATAATAATAAAAAATATTGAAATTAAATGTTGATCGTCGGCTTAAACATATATTATGATACATAATCATTTGTTACAACAAGATTGACTTTTATGACATTTTAAGGTAAACAGAAATTTAGTAATTCTACATTTGCAGCAACTTTTGCATACTTAATCATTAAAAAAAATATTGCATGTTCCCTGGGCTCCGGGTTAGTGAATAGGACAACTCGTGGCTCGTAGTTATATTTCTTCTCTGTCCACGGGTTTCGGTGTGAGCAGTTTCTTGTGAAGAATTCACATGTAACATCTGAACTCTTGAACACCATGCCCTGTTCCTAGTTTGTAGAAAGTGGACTTGGCTTTAATGATAGCTATATTAATATAATGAAAAATTTCGACAACTTCTGCTACTTATAAGGCTACTGGTGCCAAGCTATATCACCCACATATGGTGTTTCTTTGGGTTATTCAGGTTCGTAAAGAAAGACAATTTGCTGTCTAAGGAACCAGTTTATAGTCCTAACAAAATGTCAGGCCTTGTGATTTTGTCCTGTGAAGTCCACAATATTTGACTTTGTGACAGACGGATGCATTTAATTGATTTTGATATTATAGTTTGTTTCAGATAATTTTCAACTATGGTCGTGTCACAATTATTACTTTATACATTATTTTCTTTCAATAAATCATGCAATGATCTGTTCGATGTTTCATACCTAAATTTTCTAGTCTATTTAACTTACATGACATTTCAACTCATTTTACTTTCAACGAAAAATAGAAGCATACGAATTTAATTGTTCTTAGACATATGTAAACATATCATTCTTGTGAGAAACACAGTAGTTTAGTTTCCAAACCACCGAATAAAATAATACGTGAAAATCCACCTGATTTACCATCACTCCGTGTAATAGAAGGGCGCTAATGGAAATTTGGGGTGACATGGGACGCTAGTGGCAGTTTATGGTCAAAATGACACACTTTTTTATAAAAAGGGTATAGTTATTTATTGTTTATTTTTTTTTTTTAAATAGGTTTCACGGGCATTTCCAGGCTGTTAGCCTCGGGGATGAACAAAGTCTACCGGAAATATGTTCACAGCTATACATACCGACGAGTCTGCGTCACGTATTGAAATTTGTCTAGGAATTATTTTGTCACTTTGTGTAATGGCCGGTCAATTTAGCCTATGCACTGTTTATTTAAAGAATATTGATCTTGGCCTCCAGGCTCGGCAAAAGAGAAAAGTTGCCGGCAAATTCTCGAAATGACAGAACAATGAATATTGGCAATATGTATTGTTATATATATATAATAGGTCTATTTAATAAAATTTGTGTTGAGAGAGACAGGAAATTAGTCAAGACGTTGAACGTATATGAATGTAATAGAAAAGGGAGAGAGAACTGGAGAGTTATAATTTCTTAATAGAATGAACGTTGAAATAATAAATGTAGAATGCTAAAAGGAATAAAATTGAAATATGTTTAATTTCAGTAAAAACCGAAGCCCACATAAGGTAAGTAGTTTTAAATATTATTACATATTTCTTGATGTGAAAAATGAAAAACTATGTGCCTAAAAATAATAAACTAAGGAAATTTATTTTGAACAGAATGCAGTTCCTTTGACCTTACTTTATAACATTCAAAATCCCAAAAAATTGATCTATTAGTCATAAGGAAATGTGTTACTTCTTGAGAAAATTTTATTTAACACAAAACACAAACATATTTATAAGACGAAAATCTTATTGTTGAATTTTATATATCAATGTATATAAATATATATATACATATATATGTATATGCAAATATGTATATAATGTATTAATTATTATATGTATGTATAAATATATATATATATATATATATATATATAAATAAATAAATACATAAATAAATATATATATATATATATATATATATATATATATACATAATACATACATAATGCATACATTGCAGAACTTCAGAAAAATATTTATATATATATATAAATATATATATATAATATATTAAATATTATATGTATATATAAATATATATATATATATATATATATATATAAATAAATAAATACATAAATAAATATATATATATATATATATATATATATATACATAATGCATACATAATGCATACATTGCAGAACTTCAGGAAAATATTTAGCCCAGCTGGAAGACGTAAAGAGAAGGTAGATTATGATGAAGAAGAAGAGCTGATTCAAAAAGAAGGTAAACTGAAATAGCAATATTAGACAATCATAATTCTTCGTGTAGGCAGTAAGGTTATTTACACAATTCAAATTTTGTAAATTCCTTCCCCGACCCTGATGACGAGTTATAATGTCAATTTCTTGTTGCCTTTTGATAACATGTGTACAATAAAACGAAACATTAAACTCGTCACTCGTCATTTAGTGCCTAAAAAATTGAGCTTGTTTTCTCATACGAAAATAATGAATTTAATTTTTTCTTTCATTTTCCAATCTCAGAAGTAGTGTACATCAGAATTAAACAAAGTACACAAATCTTATCTCTATGGTAGTTATTAATGTTAATGGTAGAAGCGAAAGAGAAGGAGAACATTATTAATTATTATACCAATTATCAAGTAAAACTACATGTTTTTCATATTCTGTTAAAAGATCTAATATAACTGATAATTCAGTAGCCTTCTATTGCACCAAGAACTTTTGAACGTTATATGGGTTTTTTCGTTTTCTGAGACAATTCTACAATCAGTTTTTGTTGACTTTACTAATTTTGTGGTGTCACTTTTCAATCACACGAAGATCTTTTGCTCTATTCGACTGCATTTTTTAAAAGTTTTTAATATGCTTATGAGAAATTTAGACCAGATACATTTTCGAAATAAAGTTACTTGATGGAAGTTTGTGTAATGGTATTGTTTAGAACGAAGCTTGTTTGGAACAAATTAAAGTGAAAAAAACAAGAAACATTATTGTTATGAAAAAGTAAACATTTCCCACATTTTCAGTCGCACTTTCATTTAGAAAAATATTAATAAAACATCTAATAAAAACTAATTTCATCACAATTACACTCTAAATTAAACATGTTTTCGAAAAAATGTGCCTTCAATCAAATATATTCTATACAACTTCCAAAAACAAGAAATAATTTATTTGACCATGTCTGCCCTTGCCAAATACACGCTTTGTTAAGGCTTGTGTTTAAGTAATGTTAGATGTACTTTCAACGACAATGCTAAGTACGTCAATTGGTGGTGGTGGGTAATTCGACAAGTAGCAATTTGTAAAATTCGGATTATTTTCTAATGTAGTGATAGTCGAATGTATAGGTTCTGCTGTGTGTAAAATGTTTATGCACCTAAACAAAACATCCACTATTTTCATTATAATAATTAAATGATAATGTGACGTAAGATATTACTTAGTGGAAAATAGTTTTACTTGTGTTTAAATTTAAAATAGTTTAATTAGGATTTTATGTTTTTGATGTTTACGATTTTAAATATTTTCAAGTGTGACTAACTCATAATTATTTGAGTAATAATACGTTTATTTTAAAAACAATATTTTTGACAAATAAGATATTTTTTTAAGGTTTAAAATGAAATCATTATAAACGATTTTAATACTTTTACAGAAGATTTAAAAGATGTTCAAATTGATATTTTTACATCTATTGATGAGGATTACAAACACTGTCAGAAAAAACATAAAGACTTTATGTCCAAGAAGGAGTTAACCCTTTCTGATCTACCAGAGCACATGCAGAACGAAGATGTTTTTGATTTAATTAAAACGACAGCTGACCTGACTGTTATGGTTACTTTTTCTGATGACAGTGATACATTGAAAAAAATGGGCACAGGCTGGATTGGTCATATTTTACAATATACAAAAAAGGATAAAATGAAATGCACTTGCAAGAAATGCAGAAAGTCTCCAAACTACGATTGGGGAAAAATAACTGTATATACATCAACAGATGTGGTTCCAAATAATTCTAATGGGAAACAAGTTGTCTGTAGTATTTTTATTGATGATGATGAAGACAATGTTTTACATTTACAGGGCTGCGAGGTGGAAGCAAAATTTCACAAGTGTAGAATTAAATTTAAAACCTGCAACGCGGAATTGTTAAAAAAATTAAATAAACTAAGACAAAAAGTGACTGAACTTACTTACAAAATAAACACTAAATATAAAGATTTAAATGATGGGTCTCTCATTTCCGATGACGATGAAAGGTTAGTGATAATCATTTCATATATACATGGTATGAACAGGCGTGTTTCTTTGGGGTCTTGGTCACACAGATCCGCCAAGATTGATAAAAAAAATAACATAGAAATCACGAAGTACATTTACACAGCTCCGACCTGTCTAGGTAGCACGGGTGCCTACGTTTACATACTGGGTCGAGCACACTGTGGTTGGCTTTATCAACACTATCATGTTGGTGTTAATGCATTAAATCAGGGTTTCTGTGGCTATGGGATTGATGCCTAGTAGAATTTTTTTTTTGATTGACTAAAGATAGGATACTGTAAGTATCAACTTAATGCTAATTTTTAAGCAGTGAAACAAGACTGAACGGTGACGTATATAAAACTGAAAGTATATCATGCACAAAATGTCATAACTGATTCATTTTATTTTTTAAAAAAAACAAAGTTAGATAGTTTTCACTGTTTAGTGTTTAAATTTATTAAACACATCAAATGTTTTTACGTAGTTTTTTCAATTAAAGCTATGTGTATATATTAAAATTGACATGATATAAAAAAAAAATCTTTCATTTAATCAAAATCATACACAATTATATGTATTAATTTTAAACCTGAATTTTAAAAACATAAAGCACTATTGAATGTAACTGTTAATAACTTAATCATAAATAACTATGAAAACGGCCCCGGTTTAAACTTTAAAAAAATATTCGTTAGCTAAGAAGAAACATCAAATGTTTACTATTTTAAATTTAATATTACTCAAAAATGCAGTTTGCTGTGTAATGTTTTTGATTATAATATATAATTGTTCTTAATTTTTACAAAACTGAATCATATTTTATTATAGAATGTATTATTTCAAATATTATTAGCATCACCTACATAAACAAGAGCGTATTTTGTAAAAAATAAATTTAGAAAATTCAGTTGAATTGGAATCAAAGAACATTTTTATGCTAGTGCGTCATTTTATAAATTCTTTCAGTATTAATTTTATACTTTATGTTCGTAAATGCAAGTTATTTTGTATCTAAAATTAACAATTTGGCACAATATTTTAAAAATCCTTTTGGAAAATACTTTAGCCCTTACAGATGGCTCATTCCCATCCACATCCGCAATTAGCCAGTAAAATTGATACAAATATGTTTTAAAGTGTTTTATATGTTATTTAAAATATCCCTTAAAACACAATCTTAATACAATTTTAAAATTAAAATGTGACATATATATATATATATATATATATATATACATATATATATAACATATGTCCTTATTATACTATTGTAATCAGATATTATTTACCAAATACCGTGATCAGACTTTCAAATTCATTTATTTAAAAACAAAACTTTACGTTGGCCTTATATATATGATATATAAAATCATCTTTATATGAAAGCTTTCTTGGTTTTAGTTTCCCATTTTAATATTCTTGAGTGCGAAAATAAATTATAATAAAATACTTTTACCCATAAAGATGTTGTATTCTTATTTAACAAATTATTCACTTTTCTTGAAATCAATTTCATTACTGTATTAAAAAAACATTAAATTATGTAAATATTAGACTAGAGTCCTGGGTGGCCCAGCGGCCTAAATTGTCTCAAACAAAAAAGATGGTGGTCTCAATTTCAATCCCCACCAAAGCCAGCTTCCCAAAAAAACCCGCGTGACTGGGACTCGTTAGACTTGGAAGGCAACCCATATAAGAGAAGGCAAACTCTGAATTTAAACCAAGAGCGAGATTTATCAACAAATTGATCGGGGACCCCTCAGATATAATAAGAAGACAAAAACCATTTTAAAAAAAAGGTTTATAATTGTTTCAAATTAAATCTGATTTAAATGTGAACACATTTATAAAAACCACCAGCAATATTTGTGATATTTAATCAAGCCCGTTCTTAGGCATACGCTGATTACGCATCCGCGTAGGGCCCCGAACATGAAGGGCCCCCGTGTGGGGTTTTCTCCTCAGCTCGAGGGAGTTCTACCCACCTTTTGGGGCTCCCAACCTAAGCTCCCAGCTTTGCGCCCCCAAACTCCGAAGAACGGCTCTGATTTAATGATGTGATATATTATAAAAAAATATTTATTATTGCAGAAATGCATATACATTGAATTTCCTATTGAATCATATAAAATGTTTCCTTTTTTTACGTTCCATATTTGTATACGTTTTTTACAGCTCTGCTTAAATCTTATATATTATTGGTGTCATTTTTTAAAATTTATTTTGTATATCATTGTGTATTTGAGAGGGAGGAAAAACGTTCATTTGTTTTGGTTGTTACAAACTATTTATTCTCGTTTTTGCTCATTAAGAATGACCTTACATCCTAAACAAGTTTATGAAGTCATTTACTAAAATAGGATTAATTATTTGATATTGCTCTATCATATACCTATTAATGCCAAAATAAATGTAGTTTTTAATTATTTTTAAAAAAAAATTGTTTTTACCGCTTTTGGTTTGCTGAAAAAGGCTACTGACGAAAAGCTCATTGCCTTGCTACATCCCTTTTTCAGGTTTCCCTAATACTTAATTTTGCGTATTTCTTTCTACATAGCCTGATTGCTGCGTCCCTTACTTATTAACAAATAAAAAGAAAATCTACATTTCTAATTACACTTTTTATGTTCATTATAAAATTTATATTTAAACAATGTGAATGATTTTTAATGTATAGACCTCTTTAATTTTCAGAGGAGTCTATAGCAGTTGAGAACTTAAAAAACCATAAATAATTTATTAATGTAAAATACAAAAAAGGATGTAACCATCAACGATTTGTCGTATGTGGTAGCGAGGTTATCGCCCGCAATAAAAGTTTAAGACAACCTTACATAGATTAGTAAAGGCTCATTGTACTGATCAAATTTGAAATTTTTCTAATGTCAACATACATGTTAGAACTGATACCTTATTTCATCTTTAGAAATACTTACAATAGTGAATAAAATTTCTTCATCAAAATAATAATAGTATTTAACATTTAATTTGGGTTGTAAATTATATAGGCTTACCATACGAAATTATAGTGTCGCCAGCATCTTTCAATTTAGCAATCTTGAGACAGATCATTGCTGATATGATGTCATTTCCCTTTGAAAGCATAAATAATAATTTAAAAAAACAAAATAGTTAATATAATAATAAAGTTTATTTGCGAAACACGCTTCATCCCAAAAGCTCGAAGCACAGTACAATGTCAACCATAGTAAAAAACAATAAGTTACCAAATTAAAAACAGATGCAACAATATAAAAAATACATAAGAGAATACCAAGTCAAAGTCTATCATCCAAAATTCAACCATAAGCAACTCAAACCAATATACATTAACTGGAAAAAAATTGCATATAGCATCACCCCAGAAGGTATTTGCGAAATAGATGTGTTTTTAAATTTGTTTTCAAGGACTCCAGTGTCTTGATTTTCTAAGAGTGACAGGGGGCGTTCCAAATTGTTGGGCAAGTAAATGTAAAAGTGCGCTTTCCGTAAGTCTCAAGGCGAATACGAGGTATAGATATTTTTCGACTATCGCATGAGCGGAGCTGTCTGTTGGGTACATAAGGCGTCATGAGTTCTTTGAGATCGGACAGCGCCAGGTCATGTCAGCAGCGTTTGCACAAAGTTATAATTTTGTACTCTATGACAGGGCGGACCGGCAGCCACTGCAGCTCTCTCAGAAGGGTTCTAGCATGTTTGAATATGCGTTTGCCAAAAAGAATGCGAGCCCCATTATTCTGTGCTCTTTGAATTTTATCCAGGAGCGTACCTGGGAGACCAACCAAGAGAGCATTGCAGTAGTCCATATGTGATAACATGAATGCAGACATCAGCCTCTTTGATGCATGTAGTGTTAAGAAAGGTCTGATATGACTAATCCTGCACATCTATAGAAATATCGCCTTGCAAAGCATGTTAATGTGATTTTCCATAGTTAGTGTTCTGTCTAAGTAGACACCAAGGTTTCGAAAGGTTTGAGCAAACGCAATCTATATAACTGAGAGAGTAAGTGATGTTGTGTTTTCAACGTAAAATTTCATTTGCAAATAAGTTAAAATGTCTGTAATTGCCATTTTAAATATGATAAATCTTTGAATACGATGCCTCGACCAAATAATCCACCTGTTACCTTATGACTGACCATAACCTGATCTTAATGAAAGTATATATAATAATGAGTTAGAGTGACATAAAGCTAAATGGTCGATACGATTTAAGTACGTTTAGATTAATAAAAACAATCATTGTTAGTTTCTATTATTTACAGGAAATCGAATAAATTTAAATGCGCAAAAAATATATTAAATTTTCTTTTATTTTATGAAAAGTTAAAGTTATATTATTATAAATTACAAATACATTTAAATTATCAACTAAGGAACTATTTTGAGCATTTTATATGTCTTTGAAAGTTATAAAAAAAAAAATGTTAATATAAAAAAAGTCATGATCAAAAGAATTACACCGTAATCACATTTATCGGGAAAACCGAAGCATCAGGCGTTTTTTAGTGCGTGTTTTAGTGCGTTGTTAATATTGCGATATAAAATTAAAATTAATTTGCTATCAATAATCAAGCAAATGACGTCAGAGCACGAATACCCTATTTCGCCAAAACTCTTAGGTTTCTTTAAATTTAATAACCGTGTGTGACAAAACTGATAATGTAGTTTCCTTTCCAAAAAGTAAAATAAATAAATGATATTGATTGCTTTGTAAATTGTTAATAAAAAACAGACACATTTTTGCTTTGTATATGTTTACATTTAAAAAGGTGTGTCTTTTTATTCCAAAAATATGGTTTTATTTAATTTATAATGTAATAAAAACTAACCATAACCTTTAAATATAATTCTAATAAGAAAATGCGGTTTAACTCAATCAGTGTAGTTCAACTACATAGCCAAATAGCATTCACTAATCCACTTATACTTCATACACATAAGAACGAACCATTTGAAGTGCTAAAGATGTTAGTTTCGGTATGGAAGGGACTACAATCTGGTTGAAGATTTTCTAAATTTATTTAAATCTTGGTGGGGGAGGGATATGTCAATTTTGCCCAGGCAGCCCAAGATACGTCTCAAAATATAAGAATGAATTTGATAAATAAATAACCTTCGTGGGTATATTCATATCGGAGGTAGGAAATGGGATGCGTACATTTTTCCGTAGATGAAAAAATATTTAAATCCTATCGTTTATCATTTGTGAAAAAATGATGTTACATTCTCTTTTTACAAATAGGGTTCATTTTGCGCAAGGCAGCACAGGATACTTCTCAAATTAAAGGAATAATTTTGATAAATAATTAATTTTCTTTGGTAAATACATGTTGTAGTTAGGAAAAAAGATGTGTAAATTTTCTCGTGGATGAGAACATAGTTAACTACTATGGTATTACATATGTTATATTCTCTTTTGCAAATATACATATATTTACCAATTAAGAAAATCAATGGCGTTAACAAATCGTGGGTACTTGTATATATGTATACCCATAAATATCAAAACCCAATCATTTTACACAATTAAACAATAAATTTGAAAAATAGAGATGGGTTAATATTTACTTTTAAAAAATGAAAATATATTTGCAAAAAGTAAAGAGATGTGTACTTTTATGAGATTAAATTTTTTTTTTTTTTTAAAAGACACTAAAGTCTGTTATAGGCGTGAAATTCTTGAGATAAAAGAATTCTTTGTTTTACGATTTTCTGATAATGTATCATGTTTTTAAAAAAAGGCAAAAGTGCGCTTAAATTTTTAATGATATATTCTTCTTTTTAAATTTAGGAATTGTGAGGAGTTTTTGCAATGGCAGTTAGAAATTATCGCAATGGAACTACCGTTATTATTCTAATAACATCGGGTCTTTTATTCTAGTATAAGCTAGATTTTGAAGTAATTTGTCTTTGAACGTCTCTACTAATGTTTTCATATATGTTGCAAAACGGTATGAACATATTTCTTAAACAGTAAATAGTGTGAGAAATATGAAAGCATAAATAAGATCACAGCACAAACGATTCAGTTTCTGAAAAGTTTGTTGTTACCCTCTAGCATACTTTAATTAAATACAATAGATGACAAACTCGGAATAAATTGGGCACATACGCATGCATAAAATTATATACTTTGTAATTGGCCTTAAGTTAAAGATTTACCATAGGCGTTAACCTGCTTTATCACAAGATATCACCATTGGTGATAGATACTCACACTGATCCTGTTCTAAACATTGGGACTGATGGTAATCCTACATTTATGCGATTACCTTATCAGCAAGGAAAAAAATAAGCTGGATAATTGTACAGCGTAAAATTAACAAGTTGTATAGCTGTTTAATTATAAGTTTACTATTGAAATGTCATTTAAATTTAAAAGAAAAAATAAAAGCGAAATAGCCACCCAATTAAAACTGCAATAAACATTTCTTGCAAATTATATAGATCATTATTTAGATGATAGCCATTTTTGGTAAACAATAGGGACGCCTGCCACTATTTCATCGAATATCACGAATGTATCCCTAAATCGATCCCTATGCCTAGCCTGAACCCTCAATAGATCCATATACCTAACCTGAACCCTAAATCGATCCCTCAACCTAACGTAAACCTTAATTCACTGCAACTATAAAAAACACGCAAAAGACGCCGTGGCAGCCGTCCTCGGATTTAGCACTATTTTTTTATCCCAATGGTACAGTGAAAGAAAGGGTTCGTCAGGCAATTTGGGAGTACGATGACCTACTTGTGACTGTGAAAAAACGCAAATTACAATCGTACGGCCACGTAACAACGAAACAAGGGCTTGCAAAAGAAATATTGCAGGGCACCACACGAGGAGGTAGAAGAAGAGGAAGACAAAGAAAAAAGATGGGAGGATAACATCAAAGAGTGGACAGGACTAACACTGGGCGATGCAGTGCGTAGTACTGAAGACAGAGAGGAAAGGAGGAGGATGGTTCACATGTCATCTGTGATGCCCCAACGGTCCAAGGACTAAGGGACATGGGATTAGGAGGATTAATAGAAAAAATTTTTTTTTAAAAATAAATATATCAAATGAAATGCAAAATCGGAATACCCCGATAGTAAATGTTAATGATACAAGAAATAACTGGAATTCCCACTATAAACTCAGCGTTGCCTGGACATGGTTGAACATGTAAAACATTTTTTAAACCTGGCTATATTTTTAATCTTTGGTAAAGGTAAATTATTTTTTAAAGAAAAAAAAAATGTTTATTTCATTTTTGTAATAAATTTACAAACATACACACACACATACACACATACATATATATATATATATATATATATAAATATATAAATATATATATATGTATATATATATATATATATATATATATATATATATATATATACACATATTAAAAAAAAAAAAAATATTTATTTTATTTTTATAAAATATATAAAAAAACACACACACACACACACACATATATATATATATATATATATATATATATATAAATATATATATATATATATATATATATATATATATATATATATATATATATATATATTTATGTACGCATATTCATATGATTGAACGTATTTGTATTAATGATTTTTACTTATTATTTAACTCTAAAACGTTTCATATAAATTTAATATGCTAAATTTAGAAAATAAATTTGCACATTGTTAATGAAAAATTTTGTTTACATATTATTGTAAAGGTAACACTACTTATACACTTATACATAAAATATGAATCCCAATAATACTTAATTCAATCTAATCACACAAATACTCATTCAATTTATAACGTGTTTAATTTTTTAACCAATCTGATTTCAAAACAAACCAAAAATGAATTTGAATTAAAACGCTCGGTTGCTAAAGTGATAAATGTTATTTTTTTTTAATGATTGTAATATATATTTGTTATGACATCCTTCGGTCTAAACGACACGAGGATGTAGCTACGTAACCTTCATCAAATTTCTCACAGGGCCGATCCTGAAATGGCAGTATCGGATTCATTTCTCACAGGAGTAAATTGGCACCTGGTTAGATTTGGCCCACCGCATTTTTATGTTTGTTGTAAGGTCTTCGTTTTGCTTATCTTCTGCATTTTTGACTCCTTCATGCACTGCCCTTCGCCAGCTGGAAAAATGCTCAGCAATGATTTCCCATTCGTTTATTTCTATATTGGCTTCCCTTACGTCCATAAATCGCAGCCGTGGCTGTCCAATAAGTCTGCCCTTTCTGCCAAAGTCCCAGCTGAATCTTTGGAATACTGCCTTTCTCCATTCTATTTACATGTCCTAACCAGCAAAGGTCTATCACGTTCATTCCGGTGAATATGATACAAAATTTTCACGTTCCAAACTTCTGTGTTAGTTCCCTAGTCCTGCCATCGAATGAAAAAAATGAGACGCAGAAATCTTTGCTGTTGCTTTATGTAATCCTGATGTTCACCTCTTTGTCAATGGAGAGAGAACTAGGCATATTAATTCCGAGGTAATGTTTAAACGCTCAGCAATCAACAAATTATTGCCCTAAATAGATATGATAAGAGAGGATGGTGTTTCTTGCATCATGACGTTTGTTTTCTGTAGACTACTTGACCGTCCAAACTCTTTACATGCGTGTGAGAGGTGATTACCTAGGCGCTAAAGACCGTTTTGCTTATGCGATGCTAAGGCGCCATCTTTAGCGAAATAAAGTACTACTAATCAGTGCATTTTTACCCTTTATCTTTGCACGAAGGTGGGTGATATTGAATAATCTACGATGATTTCTGTCATGGCTGTACACTCTGTCTTCATAGACCTTGAAGTAAATTTGGACAGGCATCGAGAAGAAAATGGAGAAGAGTGTTAGTGCCAAAAAGCAAACTTGTTTTAAAACATTGCTGGCTGGAAATGACTCAGAGACCTTGCCATTGACGGTTACTATGTTGTGCTTTGTCCTTGAAAATACTAACTGATTGTGAGCAGTCATGGGGGATAACCCATTATATGCAAAATACTGAAAAGACTCTCCGACTTACCATGTCAAAACCTTGGTCAGAACTATAAAAGACAAATAAAGAGGCATATTCTGTTCATGACATTTATCCTTCAATAATTTGCGTTACGAGAATGTCAAGTTTGTAGTCGAACGGCCACTTCGGAAGCTACACGTGGACTCTGGGTAAATGCAGTTTGCTAGAATCTGCAAGCGTTTAAGGGCAAAATGGGGCAAACGTCTTTCCAACTAAGCAATGAAGAGAAATTCCTTTATATTTATTATAATCACTTCGGCCAGCTTTATTTTGTACAGTGTTACGATGTTTGCGTCTCTAGTGTACTGGGGAATGTGACCTGTTTCCCAACACAGACAGAGGAGCGCATGTAAGGGCTGAGGTCATATAGCTTTTCCATTATTCAGGACTTCTGGGGCAATGCCGTCAATTTCCTTCCCCATCAGCAAGTTAATCAATTTCTTTTTTGAGCTTCTGCAATGTTATTTCTTCACCAAGTTCTTTCATTATTGACTAGACGGGAATATTATTCAGAGCATTCTCGGTTACTGTTCATTGCTGCGCAAAGTTCAAGATAATGCTCCACGAACGCTGAATTTGATCGGTTGATGACTTGACCTGTCTTGGAATTGTTGGGTACTATTTTTTGAAGTGTGTTTTCCTAATTCCTTCTTGATGACTTCGTAAATGGTCCTTGCATTCCCATTTTCTGAAGCCAAGGGTATTTAATGAGGGTATCCTGCAACTTTTTTGTGAACTGCTGGGCTGCGATGTTTATGGGTTCTTTGAAAAGTGGAGGTTAATACCTAGTAAAAAAAAAAATCATTGTGCAATATTTTGAGCATTATTCGTATTTTGTTTGTTAATAGAGAATGGTCAGTGTCGCAGACGCCAATATGGTAGCTGCGGGTGCGAAGTACACTGGCTAGATCCACGCGTCTAGTGATTAGCAGGTCTAGCTGATATCATAGACGGGAACGTGGGTGTGGCCATGGCACCTGATGGATTTTTTTGCACTTGAAAAGTGTGTTGTTAACACAGAAAACATGGGACCAGAACAATTCAAGAAGTCATTCTTCGTTATCATTAAATATTACTAGACAGTGATGACTATTATAAGATTGCGAGGTTTCTTATTCAGTTACCAACCTAGCATTAAAGTCTCCAAAAATTTTGATTCATTATGCTGCTTTAGTAAAATTCGTCTTTTATATGATCACAATTCTGTAGCTCGGTCATTTCCATTGGGTAAATCGGATAAATAATTTCTGTTTTGAAAGAAAATTGTTCCGTTAAAGCTGTAACAGATTTTGATGAGTGTCCAACCTCAGGTGTTGTTGGATGAGATAATGTGTCGCTTTCGAATGAAAATAGTTGTGTTCGTCCCCCGCACAACACATCCTTCATAGAGCCCGAATGTTTGGAGTTTTTTTTTATGGCTGTCCAGGTCCATATCATTCACAGTATCTAATGTCTTAGATATACTTTTATAGTCATTTTGTGTTTTTAGTGCAGAAAGCTTATTTTTTGTAACTTTAAAACTATCAAATATCAATTTGCATATTATACTAGTGTTTATAGACCTCACTTATTCAATCATTCTTGTTCCTAAAAGCCTCTCTGTCCTAAATAAACATGTCTTCTCTTGACCCATCTGGTTTTCTAAGATAAAAAACAACACTTTTAAAAAAAAGTATTCTTTCTCTACTACATGTGATTTGCAGACACATGCTATTATTAATTTGATCACGAGCTTTTTTGCATGTTCACGAGAACCGTGCATACTTTTCTTTTCAGGGCAATATATGTCAATTTTTTTTTTTACTTCTGGGAGTAGGTACAAAAATAATTTGAAAAGATAAATAATGTAAAACAATGTTATCTTTAAATTCGTCTGTAGACTTAAGAAAGTTAATTGCGCTTATGTTTTAACCGAAATAATATATCTTTCAAATCTATAGAGTTTTTGATGAAAATGATCAACACTGTTCGATTAGGAATCTTATTGTTTATTGCAAGTATGTATCCATCAAAATGTGAATTGAGAGGTATGTAGTTTATATATAATTCTTTCTGTATTAAAACCGTAATCCAAGTAGTTTTTTTGTATGTATTCCAACGGAAAATTTCATTTTAAGATTTTAAATTCACTTTTTTTTTGCCGGAAATAAAAGTTGAGACTTATGTAAAATTAATTAAAAAAAACAACTCAACTTTGTATTAAAATAAAACAGAAATTAAACATGCGTAACAGAAATTAAACATGAATATATAAAAAGAATTGCACTTCAATAACTTGCCATTTTCTGAAAGTTTATTTTAATATTTAGTCTTATGTCATAGCACAATTCAGAAATCTTTATAAAATATTTGTCTTAGTAGGTTAAGAATGTGGACAAAATCCATGCAATTATTAAAGGAGATATTGTTTATCTTCTTATTCAATTCTTAAATAAATTTGAAATACATTTTTTAAGTTCTAAACGTAAGTTTTAATCATAATATTCGTTTATAGAGATATACTTAAGAAAAGACAAATTTAATGTAAACATGAAAAGCAGCAACTACCAACATTCAAAAAAGCATATTATGAATTTATTATGTGCAAATATTTTTGTTATTTTAGCCAATTTTACAACTATAACTCGCTGTGATCCTGCCCTAGAGAACAAACCCTATAACCTTACATTTATTTGGAAAACGAATAACACAAAAGTTAGAGTCAACGTTGAAAGTCATGACTCAACTATTGGATTTTGTGAAATGAGAACAGTAAGATGTGTGTCAATACTCCCTGGTCTAGCTAAAATATATTTAACAAACATTTCTGACATGTATAACCTTACGGTAACAATAAAGAACATGTCTCGTGATCCGGGTTTTACATACGAAGGCTGCTGGACATTAAGGTACAATTCGTCACTAAAAGAGTTCTTGTCTTGCACGATGAAAGTATATTGTGAGTATCTTTTTGTTTAATTATAATAAAGCACTAAAACCATTGTGATACCTTAATAGCTATTTAACCATATTTTTCAAACAAAGTTATAATATAATTTGGTGTTATTTTCAATAATATCAACATTTTAGTCAAACATGATGGTATGGATCTTCATTAATATATTATAAAGATAAATCAGGGTAGGTCATATTAATGGATCATCATAACTTCTTAATTATTTTGCGCAGCGTTACCAATAGCATAGGAATGTGAATAACATATTGACGTAATAATTGTCTTTCGCTGTTATTTGAGCTTCATTGAAATATACGGTATCGGTATGTCCTCAAATATTTTTTAAGATTTCCCAGGAAAGTGGTTGGTATGGAAGAGAGCATTGCATACGGTTGGACGGAGGCGTAGACCTCTAATGAAGAAGATTGTTAGCCTGAGGGGAAGAGATGGGTTGATTTCCAGTCTTTTGATCCGAACATTGAACATTTTTTTTTGGTAGATTGGTTTGTAAAGATTTTAGCTTTCTTTTGAAACTATGATTTTAAAGGGAATTGTGATAATGACATATTTTTTTATAGTGCTTAGCATATAGATAGAGTATTTAATGGTTGTAGTAGTAGGTTTGAAAGCCTGGGATGAGATAAAGAAAACTAAGAGACAAACAAAATAAATATATACATTCGGAACCGCACAATGATAACCATACTATTGAAAAACTATGTTGCAATGATTCATTTTACAATGATAAATTCTCTGCAGTTAATGGTAGCATGTAATTTTTCAAACTTAAATATTTTTTTCAAATTATATTTTAGTGTGTATTTCGATGTGATATATTCTTACTTCAGTGAAAACTACAAATTTTACATTGTTACATCAAGTTTCTATAAAACATAAATTTCCTCAACATTTTTTTTTTGCTTTGTGTGTATATATATATATATATATATATAAATATTAAGCAAATATAAATACACTTGCTAAATCAATAAGGCATTTATCATCAATTAGACAATATTGAAATTGCATTCTTGTTAATTTAAGCTATGCCACTCAAAATGACTTGCGAAAGCTATACGGTAAATGGTGCTGTAAAACTGAATTGTTCAACTCAAATGATTTACCCTGAAGCAAAATGCCAATTGCTCACCAATGATATTGAGGTAAACACATACTTTTAATGATAACAACTATGAATGTGTGTTTCTTAGTTTTGTCTTTTAAATATATTTATGTATGTTTAATACTTAAATGAATAATAAAATATTTGTCGTAATTTTGTTAAATAAACGTCACTATGGTATAATTAAAATTGTGTCTATAAAGTGTGCAAAAAACAAAAAAAAAAAAACTAACAAACTCCGTCTGATTATTGTTAACCTTAATATTTTAATGACGTTGAATTTCTTCTACTTTTGATAATATTTTTTTAAAAATTAAATCATATTAATTAGTATGGGCATTGTGTGAGAATAACAACAAAAGAAATTGGAAAAAAAAACGTTGGCAGCCAAATATTTGTGTGGACTAAAACAATATAGTCAACAATGAATAAAATCACAACTTATCTTAGTAGGACTAGACCAGAAGATATACACATGGGACATAAAGCTTTTTTTAAGGTACCGTTTGGCAAAGTCTAAGAATTTTAAGAATAAGGTTAACAGGAAATATTAAATTTTGAAGTAAATATTTGTTTTTAAATTTGGAAAACCAGATCACTGGTAAAAAAAGTATTTAAAACTGATCATACATGGCCAAATTCTGATGGAGACGAAACCTAACCTCTTTTATATTTTTGCTTATACCAAAAACTATTTAGTAGTATAAAGTCTGGAGTGCCCCAAGGAGCTTATATATCAGCTAGAAAAGCATATATGACTATTTGTATAACATTTCTGTTGGCATAATTGTTAAATTCTGATAGGCTTCTTTCAATCTTAGACTGTTGAAGACGTTTAAATCCAGATCATAACTCATGTGCTGTTTATATCATGATTCGAACCAGTAAAAATAATTAGAAATCTGCAATCAGTGTAATTATATTATTTAATAAGAAAAATAAGTCTTAAATAAAACAGTTTACTAGTTTTCATTTCTGTAATTATTTCAATAATCACAATAAACAGGACTGTTTTTAAAGTAATTGGGGAATAAAGGAATATCTACATCATGGTGACTGGAACCATTACCAACATCCGCAAAGGGGTAAAACTATTTAATAGTAACTTGAGGGGCAAATCCTTAGTGCTAATCATTAGCTACTTTAACCGCATAAAGATGTAAAAAATCATTGAATGATTTGTTTCATTTATAAGAACAATATAAAGTACATGAATCAAAGTTGAATATGTTAAGAAAAAGTATGTGCCAGAAACTATTCGCAATTCCGATTAATACGTTTAATTTTTAAGCATATATTCATAATAAGAACCTAAAGTACCTTGATTACACCAAGATGGCAGATCAATGCTCCCTGGCAGTTACCTTTGCAAACAAAATATAACTTTAGCTTCGTCAGGAATAAGATGGCCAGTGGTACGTTAGCAAGATATAGGCATGTGACTATACCATCGCAAAGATTAGCAGAGCAAATCGTATGCATCAGCGGTTCTCAACCTGTGGGTCGCGACAATTCCCAAGGGTCGCCTAAGACCATCAGAAAACACATATACTCTACAGTTATGACGTATCAACGAAATTAACTTTGCGGTCGGGGGTCGTCACAACCACGGGAACTATATTAAAGTGTCGCGGGATTAGGAAGGTTGAGAGCCACTGGTATACATGTGTTTTAAATGCCTTTGAACGTCCTGGTAGACAGGTCAAAAGTATCTTTTTTTGGCTGCTATGTTTTAATTTCAATTTATATAATGTAAGTATTTTCTTATTTTTCTTCACAAAAATAGATGAACAAGGTTATTTCGAAACTTCCTGTAAGCTACAAACACATCATCGTGACAGGACGGGTACATTATTATCAAAGTTCATGTGAAGTATCTCTACCTTTGAGCAGCTTCAGAAATGAAACATACAAAGTGTCAGTTACTATGTATCCAAATGGAAGTGATACAGATCGCCACTTTGGAACCACTATTACATCTGAGATAGAATTGGGTAGTTCTAATTTATTGCTCATAAATGATGTTTTCTGTTTAACTGGTGGCCGCAAATAATATTATTTTGTGCATGGGCTCACTTTATATCCATCCCTGTGGCGCTACAGCCCATTTAGGGCTTTGGCCTGCCTCACTACTTCCTTCCACTCAGACCCAACTAATGCCTTTCTTTTCCATGCTTGGACTTTCAGCTGCTGTAGATCTTTTTCCACATCATCTATCCACCAAAGCCTAGGTCTGCCTTTGAGCCTTTTTCCTCTGGGGTATTGGTGATGTAACCTCTTCGTTCCTCTGTCATTTGGCATTCTCTCTAGGTGTCCTGCCCAGCGTAGCCTGCCTATTTTTATTTCTGCTACTAATGTGGGATCCTGATATAGACTGTATAATTCCTGGTTGGTTCGTATTATCCATCCAAATTCATCCTTTGTTGGCCCAAATATTTTCCTGAAATCTTTCCTCTCCCATGTGTTTAATAGATTTTCTGCTGTTTTTGTTAGGGTCCAAGTTTAACTTGCATATGTTACAACTGGTCTGATCACAGTTATATAAATAGTTTTCCTTGTTTCTCTTGTAATGTTTTTACTTTAGAGTATTTTCTGACTACTGATGTATGCCCTGTTTCCGACTGATATTCTTTCTTTTATTTCTGTTAGTAATTCGTTTCTTTCATTTAACAAAGATCCTAGGTATTTGAATTAATTTACTTTTTCAAAAGTTTTGCTTCTAATTTTAATTGTTTCAGCTGTTTGTTCCTCTCTTATCATGGTCATGTATTTTGTTTTTTGGTTGTTAACTTCCAGCCCTGCTTGTAAAGATGCGTCTTCTAATTCAATAAATGATTTTGATATGTCTTTTATACTTTTCCCTAGAAGTGCTATGTCATCAGCATATGCAAGATACTGAAGTGGTTGGTTGTGTGCCCGTTTGTTGTGGGTCTTGAGTTTCCCTCAGAAAGTATCCCATTATCGTTCCTCGAGTGTCAATGTGTATGTTCTAATAACTCTCTCCAATGTTAGGTTAAAGAGCATACAAGACAGTGTGCCTCCCTGTCTTAGGCCTCGTCTAATTTGAAATTCCCTTGAATATTCTCCTTCAATCTTCATTTTGCTTTTTGAGTTGTTTAGTGTTACATTTATTAGCCTTGTCAGTTTGTTGGGTATCCCAAACTCCTGTAGAGTCTCATATAAATGCTGTCATAGGCCATTTTATAGTCGACATAGAGTTGATGTACTGGTATATTAAATTCATAGCATTTCTCTAATAGGCGAATGGTGAAAATCTGATTAGTCGTTGATCTGTTAGGCCTGAATCCGCATTGGTAATCACCTAGTATTTCTTCAGTGTAAGGTTGTAGTCTTTTGGCAATAAGTCTCGTCAGTATTTTGTTTGTAACATTTAATAGGGCGATATCTCTGTAGTTTGTGCACTGAAGTTTGGAGCCTTTCTTGTGTATTGGGGTTATTAATGCTGTTTCCCATTCTGTCGGGATTTTCTCCTCTTGCCAAATTTTAGTTTTAAGTGTATGTATCCGATTGTGTAGTTCTTTTCCTCCATATTTAATCAGTTCTGCTGTGATAAGGTCTTGTCCGGGGGCTTTGTGATTTTTCATATAATTAATTACCTCTTTGGTTTCTTCTAGGGTGGGAATTGTATAAACGGGTCTGGTCCTCCCTGTGGGAGTTGATAATCTTCTTTTTATCCATTGTCTGCATTCAGTATGTCCTCAAAATATTCAGCCCACCTCTCAAATACTACTATTTTCCGTGATTAATTTTCCATTGTGGCTCTCACACAATTGCGGTCTGGCTTGGTATCCATTTTTTTCATCTTTTATCTTCAAGTACATTCCTCTTATATTTCCCTCTCTTGATAAATCTTCTATTTCCTTTGTTTATCCTTTTCCCATTCCCTCTTTTTCTTCCTATACATTTTTGTTGCTTTCCTTCTGGCTTCCTTGTATGCTTGTATTGTCTTTCTCGTTTTTCTTTGTAACATGATCATTCGTGCTTTGTTTCTTTCTTCCACAGTCTCTCTGCATTCATTGTCGTACCAGCCTACTCTATTGTTGGCTTGCTGAAATCCCACTACTTTTTCTGCTGATCTTTTAATGGCATCTTTATCCTATCCCACTGATCATTTATGTTGTTTTCCCCATTTCCCCCGTTTATTTAGTTGTGCGATGCTTCTAATTGTGCTTCTACTTTACTCTGGTAAGCTTTTGCAGCTAATGGGTCTTTGGGCAGCTTTTGGTAATCGTATCTTTTCTCTCTTTTACTACGACCATTGTGAACTAAGCTTATCCTCTGCCAATATTTCACCCTTACAAGTAGATGGTCCGAGTCCACATCTGCTCCTCTAAGGCTTCTCACATCTAATATATCTGATCCATGTCTTCGATCTATTGAAACGTGATCGATTTGATTGCTGGTGATTCCATCTGGTGAGTTCCACGTTGCTTTATGTATATTTTTGTGCGGAAACTTGGTGCTGCTAACTGACATCCCTTTTCCTACCGCGAAGTCTATGAGTCGGATCCCATTGTCACTGGATTCTTCGTGCAGACTTTCCTTGCCAATACTTGGCAAGAACACCTTTTCTTTTCCTATTTTGGCATTGAAGTCTCCAATCACGATTTTAATGTCATGTCGTGGTGCCTTTTCGTAGATCTTTCCCAGTGTGTCATAGAAGGATTCTTTATCCTGATCTTCCGTGTCTTCCTTTGGAGCATGTACATTTATTAGTGTTGTATTGAACATTTTTCCTCGCTCACGCAAAGAACACAATCTTTAGTTCTCTGGTTTGAAGCCTATGACTGCACTGACCACTTCTTTTTTCGCTGCAAATCCTGTTCCTAGTGTGTTGGTGTTGCTACCACTATAAAATATGGTGTATTCTTTTGTCTTGAGGATGTCTGAATTTTTCTATCGAATTTCTTGCAATGCAGCTATAGATATTTTAAATTTGACAATCTGATTTACAAGGTTGGCTAAGGCTCCTGCTCTAAACAGGCTTAGTACATTCCAAGTTGCAATCCAAAAATCATGTTAATATCCATGCATAGGTCGATTTCCATTGGTATCAGTCCGGGTATTGTTCAGTTGCTTGGCTTTCGTAAAGTTGTTTTTTTTTTTACGTGGCTGAGTTGTTAACCCTGCGCACAACCGTCTAGGGGGTTGCCACTTACAGCTCTCTGGATAGCTGCCTTAGTTTTTGCATTGGGTTCGCTAGCCTTTGTGGATCCCTCCACTTCCTACAAGGCAATAGGTTTTGATTTTTTTCCACTCCAGGTATTTTATTTCCCTGGTACCCTCCATATGTGGTGGGCTTTCCCCTATCCGCCACCTGGGGAGGCGCTCGATGAAAGATCAGTAACTCCGCACGTGGGTTCACTTTATACATAATTTTAAATATATTTATATCAAGAATACAAGTATGACTTTTTTGGATTATTTTTTAATATGTATAACAAAATTTATCAAAATATTTTAAGATAAATGTATGTTTCTATAATTTTTCTCTCTAGGACATCCAATTGTGAATTTGACAGATTGTCCTCCGATTATTGAAGTAGGAACAAGCGTAACTTGCACATGTGCACATTCTAATTTCAGCGTTAGAAATGATTTAATTGTTTGGTTAGATGAAAATCAACAACCTATACTACCTACTTCAAATATCGTTCATTTCAACGTTTCTCAAAATGCAATTTGTAAGTAACTATAATACGAAACATATTCAATTGTTAAAAAGTAAAATGTCATACAATTTTTTAAAATGTAATTGATAGAATGGTATTAGTTGTCATTTTTGTTTTTATCAATTGATAAATCCTAAAAAAATTAAACTTTTAAAGTATAATTTAAAAAAAAAAATAGTTTAAAGACGATAACAAATACGAATGTTTAAAATCGATTTTTTTGAAAATCAGTAATATTTTAATTTATTATAATAATAATATAAATATTAATAAAATATAACAATATGTTTATAACCTTAAATAATTTCTGAACGTTTTAATTGCCCTTTGATCTTCAAATAAATGTTAAATCCATTCAGATAATATTATTAGGATACATGATTGTCATTTGCACCTAGCATTTTAATGTATACGTATCAATGAAGCTTAGTTTACAATTAATATATTAGTACTCAAAGCTATTTTTAAAAAGATATTCTTAAAAAATATACAGATATATATGAGTATTATGTTTTTATTACTTGTAAAATGTGTTTATACCGTCAGTTTATTAAGTTTGGTGTTTTTAAGATATGTTTAAGAAAATTTTCCAATTCAACGTATCTCTGTGTATTAATCCACAGCTTACTATTGTGTTGTAAAAAATGTATCAGGGAGTATCATTTCTAAAGTTCTTTATAGACCCAATATTATCGGTAGGTTTATTTTCATTGTATCGCTTTAAACTTTCATACTCTATTTTTTAAATTTATTACAGTTATCATGTTTTTATTTTATTGTATACGAAGTTAATGTATAACTTTTTTGTGAGGATATTCCAATTTTTTAGCATGCATATTTTAAAATACATAATTATAAAGTAAATATTGCTTTTATTTCAATACCTTAAATTCCATAAAATTGATGAAAAACAGTTTTTATTCCTTTTTGTTGCAGTTAGACCTTACAATTTAACTTGTCATAAAGGACCTCTTGCGGACGATAAAGTGATTATTTCATGTACTGCTTTAGGTGTTTACCCAGACCCAAAATGCAAGTTCATTGCCTACGACAATACAGTACGTGATTTTTTTAAAGTATTAAAATAAAAACAAAACAAAAAAATCAAAATAGTATCCTTTTAGGAACATGTGGTTGCAAGCATCTCTTAAATTTCAGTTAATGTATATTGGCCTGTGTTGCTTATGGTTGAAACGTGTTGAAAGACTTTGACTTGGTAAGCTCGTATGTGGTTTCATATTGTTGCGTCTGTTTTTTAAATGTGGTAAATTTTAGCTTGTTTTTATTTCTCTTTTTAATATGGTTGACTTTTGGGGATGAAGCGTGCTTTTCAAATAAACATTTTTATTATTATTATTATTAAAATCAATTTTAAGTAATAACAATTATTCTTTCAAAAGAAGTATTGATATCTTTGAGGTGTTTATTATAATATTAAGATAATTAGTAAATATTAATTTGCTTGTAATCACAATCAGTCATTTGTGTGCAAAATAGGTGTATAGTAATAATAAAAGAAATAGAATTTATTTGAAAAAGACCACAATATTTAAACAAAAAATTAAAAATTAAAAAACTGTCAATAATTTAGCATATTTAAAAACAATATGCCACACTATAAAAACAAATACGAGCATAACCAGTCAAAGTCTTTTATCACTTTCAACCTAAAGCAACACAAGCAAATATAAATTTACTATAGAAAGATGGTAGACAAACATCACCCAGAAAGTGTTTGTGAAATAGATGTGTTTTAAATCGGTTTTAAAGGACTCAAGTGTCTGGCTGTTTCTGAGTGCGACATTAAGGGCGCTCCAAATTGTTGCGCCAGCAAATGCGAAAGTGCGCTTTCCGTAAGTCTCAAGGCGAACTCGCGTTATCGATATTTGCCCCTATCAGATGAGCGGAGCTGTCGTTTGGGTACAAAAGGCTTCATGAGTGCTTTGAGATAAGATGGCGCTAGGTCATGTAAGCAGCCGTAGCACAAAGTTGCAATTTTGTACTCCATCCAAGCGTGGACCTGCAGCCATGCAACTTTGCAGAGGTGATTTAGCATGGTCGAATTTGCGTTTGCGAAGAACAGTGCGAGCCGCAGATCTCTGTGCAATTTGAATTTTATTTCAGGAGCGTAGCTGGAACACCAACCAAGAGATTATTGCAGCAGTCAATGCATGATAGCATGCATGCAGACATCAGCCTCTTTGATGTGTCGAATGCTAAGCAATGTCTGAAATGACTAAGCTCTAGAAAAATCCACTTGCAAAGCATGTTTATGTGATTTTCCAAAGTTAGTGGTCTGTGTACGTAGACACCCAGGTTACGCACTGTTGAGCAAACTCAACCCCAACACCTGAGAGAGTAAGTCATGTTGGGTTATTTACCACTTCTGAGCGGTGGACATTGGGGATCAGCTCAGTCGTTTCATCATTCAATTTGAGCTTGTTTATAATCATCCAGTGCTTAACTGACTCCAATGACAAAAATTGTTTGAAATAAGAGAGCTTCTTTCCTTGGAAATTTATAATCGTTCCTTCTTTTCATAATAAAAGCTCCCATACATATCTTATAAAAAAACTGAATGACTGCCACCCGGGCTAAGATACGTTACGTAACAACCTACAGTTACTCCACCATTTATTTACATATCCTGACATACGTTAAAACAACAATATAATGAGCATCGCTGGCTACGAATCTATTTAAATTGTGTGTTTCTGAGAAAATAGCTTAGAGGTCAATTTTAGTTAGTTAAGAATTTTTGTTTAAAAATGATTCAACCATTTTGAGACGTTAAGAAGAGAAAAATATTGTTCCACTGATTGAGAATATCCATTAAAACCGGTTAATTATGTTGATCATTTTTAAATTCAGAAATTGATCCAAAAAAAAATTTGATTGTAGACACACACACACACACAAACACACGCACAATTCAGTGTGTCTATATTACATCTAAATACAATAAGCTTGTTCCATGGTGGAGTTCTTTAAAATGGTATGACAACCCCATTAAAAATGTAGCTGTTTATTTGAAAACGTTTATTTCTTTCATTATATCGAATATTAAACATTAGATACATTTAACATGCATATTTTTGAACGGCCAGAATCTTGAAAACATTTTTAGATCTAAATTTTTAATCATGCATTTGTTTGTTTTTTTTAAAGTGTCGTCTTTGAGCTCAATATATGCATACAGGCTCTGTAACTAGAACATAATTTCCTAGCCAAATCCTGTACTAGCCTTAGATTTTTTAAATATTTTGTTTCAGAAAATATGAAATCAATGACAGATGAATTATATTTTGAAAACAAAAATTGACCATCTGATTGTAAATAAGGTTGGGTCTATTCCTATATTTTTTTCTTAAAAAATCCCGTTATTGTTCCTTTGTTCCTCACAGTACTGTATATAATAACTTAATTTATACACAGGGAGAAATACAGCTTCAAAATGAAACTGCCGCAAGTCAAAATAAACTTCAATTAGGAAAAGTGATTCAGTACAAATGTGCATTGGATATTTCCAAATTAGTTATGCAACAAGACCTACGCGTAGTTGTAATCATGTATCCCTATATCACTGGAATAGAAACAGAAGTTTTTATATTGGGAGAAAATGTTACTGTTTTACAAGGTAAGTGAAAACAAGACTTTGAATTTTGTATCTAACTCTTATGCTCTACGAATGCTCTATTTTAGGGCTGTATTTCATCTAAAAGGAAATTTAGAAAAAAAATGTGGAGAATATTATACAAAATAGAATGTATTAACAAAATCCTTTTTTTTAATATTATTTTCCCTCCAAATTATCTCACTCTCTCTCCCTCACTATTTATCGCCATCGTTATCTTCTACTCTCTCTTTAAGTCACCACACTTTTTATAAAGTTTAAAAAAAAAAAAAAATCTTTATTTTTAAAGATAGATGTGAACCAGTTTGTCTAAAGGAAGAGCTTCTTAAATTACTTTGCATTGTTATTGGAACAATCAGCCCAATAATATTGATATCATTAGTGGTGCTCTTTGTCTTAAACAAGAAAGGTAATTATATCATAGTTTATTATTATTTTAAAGTTTATGAATGATGAGAATTAACACTTTTTAACGATATCTTCAACTTTATAAAACTTTCATACAAAATTACCTCCTTGTTTGCAAATTAAGAAATGGTCGTCATCTTCTTGTTTATGACGTCAACTCTAATTATATTTTCTTTTTTTATTCTAAGAAAATGTTTTTTCATTTTTCAACCTTTAATTAAACATTAAATTTGAAAAAAAAAAAATTAAATTCAACTATAAGCAAGCGTTGTGCTTTTTAAAATAATATTGTGTTTTGAATAAGAGAAAGAGTAGGCACAACGATTTACATATGTGTTTTTATCTATCCAAAAAAGCTAACCGACTTTGAACATTTTCTTGCATGTTTTCTCATAAAAAGCGCAAATTTCAACGAGCCCAATATGAAAACTGGAAAGAAACAATATAAATAAATATTTTTATATGTGAATATATATGATTAAAATATATGACCATATCAATATTTTAAAATAAAACGTGTAAAGCTTCATATTGAGCAAAAAACAACATGGTACATATTTGATATTCTACTAATTGATATTTTAAAGACAAATCCGTTGGCTTGAGTATGTTACCAAAATATAGAATGAAGAATAGCTCAAGCAAAAAAAGGTCTAGCTTCATTTTGTGGCATAATATTTATGATTGAATGCAATAAAAAAAGATCAATTAAAAAAAAAAATTAAATTCAAGATATTTTGCTGAACATGTAATCGGTACAAAAAATAAAATTAATTATTATTAATAATTCATATAAAATACTTATACATAGTTTACCAAATTTGCCATTTTAAGTCAAAGTACACACTCTTCATTAACATTATTTTAATATTTTCATGACCGACAATTAATATACTCAAAATACTTGTACAACTAAATCAGTCAAGCTTTTTAAAAAAAACAATTGTGCATGCATTTAAGAGTATAAATTTTAATACAATTTGGGTTAGACTTAAATGTTATTTTACATGTGAACGTAATATATTTAATTTTTAAGGAATTTTACGTAAAGTTTGGAAACGTATTCAAGACAAGTCAAACGGAGAGCATCAGGAAGAAACGGCTTCTAAAAAAAAGGATATGGAAATGACAGAAAAGAGACCCTTGAACGAAAGAAATGATGATAAGGAGGTTGTATAATCCTAAAAGGTTACTTTAAATAAACATACTACACTTTAAAAAAATGTGTATTTTTTCAAAATTTTCCAAATTAAAAAAACAAAAATTGGAATAAAAAATCAATCCATGTCATGCATCTTGAAATTATGATAGAAACTCATTCGCAAAAAAATTGTACCTAAAAATTCTACATATTTCCTTTAGATGAAGCCTTAATCAAGCAACCCCTAAAAATGAAGCTTTTTCGTTTAAATACTTTAAAAATGGTATATAGCAATGTGTGGGGGCCGTTAAAAAACTTGACAACCATGCATACAACAATCTCCCGTTCATAAAAATCTCAGATATTGACCCCCCCCCCCATTCCCATTCACAAAAGACTCGTAATGGCATATTTTTATCAATCCCCTGAACGCGTAATCAATATTCTAATGACACCACCCTCTTTCAGACATCAGATTATTTTCCCCAACTATTTGAGAATAACAAAAGAATATATTACGCTAAAAATTAAATTGAGTGTTTTGTTTATAAGTAATGTGTCTGTGTGCTAAACTTCGAAATTTGTTAGCCACGCGAACATTAGTGAAGTACAAAAAATGGATTTAAAAAAGCTATTGGACTTCTTTTTTTACCTTCAATTTTATATATTATTAAATTGATGAATATAAAATGTGTACACATCTTTTGTTTTAGAACATTTTATGCGCCCGTACAATAAACTCTCAAATGTCAGAGCAACACCCCCAACCCATTACAAAAAAAAAAAAGAAACATCCATTAACCATTATTACCTGACTTACACTTAATTGATTTCAAGTCAACATCGTCAAGTGCTAAATTGTAATGTTAACAACAACCCAACCTTTTCAAAATACTAAGACAAGTTGTTGATTTTGGTAAATATAATTGTAGCTATGACATTGACGAAGGAATGTAAGGGTTGGAGAAGCGGGTCCTCCATGGGCTGCACTTACATGGAGGGGTTTGACATGACAGTGGGCGGCTAAAACATTCGACCAACCGACCAACCCGTTTGGGGGATGTAATAACCTTAGCTATGCCAAAGCTCAGTGATAAAAGAAATGGAGGGGAGTGTGTAATGTTAAAAAAAGTGATATTTTTTCAAGTTTACCACATTTATATTTTTCATATGTGTAAATACAAATATATACAGTTTTATCCTTTAATCGTGACTTATAAGGCCTAAATGAAAAACGACTCAATTCGTTGTTCTTCAAGTTGCATTAAGGCCCTGTTTTTCATCCCAATAATTAAAGGAGAGAAGAAATAAAATATTTTAGGGTTTCAGTTGTGACGTGGGGGTAAAATGAAAACTTTGGAAGCTGTGCCATAAATGTTTTCAAATGTGTGTCCTTGGTCCACCTACTTTTTTAACGCTAGTGATGCTTTTTGGTTAATGACAAAAAAATTATATGATTAAATCACGAACTAAGTCACATAAAGAGCCAGTATGTTGGTGAAAATACAAATTTTTGAATTATTTTCTTATCAGACCTTAAAAATAATAATTAAATGTTATGGATTTTGAAGATTTTTATTTCATTATCGAAGTTTCCTATATTAGAGATATTAGAGGGTCCAGAATTTCAGGACAATTATTAGATATACTCATTTTCTGCAGATCCCCGCACATCGAACCAGTGCTTTATTAAAAAAAAAAACATTTAAAAAAAAAATAAAACAATTTAAATATCCGCCGTACATTCAAAGCAATGACTGAAAATATAACAAACTGATTTAGAAGTTTACATCTAGTGACGCTTTGCTCTTATTTATCATGATTATACTTCCTTGCGTTTCGAAATGTAACTTTCCGTCCGCGCCTAAGGACGTCCGCAACCCGAGCGGCGGGGCTGGGGAAAAGCGTTAGCCACATGCGGACAAAAAAGGTAAAGAATGATTGAATAAGCTAGCATTTGTTCTATTACATTTATCATAAAATTCAAAAAATAAATGCATGTTTCATCCAAGACAAACAAATATTAAAAAGGCAATGTCAAACCATAATAATCAATCTATGATGGTAAGCCAGATACAACCGTTTACATGAATTACTCACGGCTTCTTAAAGACACTCCCCCGCCCCTAAACCACTTAAAAAATTATTATTTTTTGTTTACATTTTTGATACGTTTAATAAATTATTTTATGTTTATTGTGTTAAAAATTCAATGTCCAACTTTAAATTCAATAAAAATTCATGTATGGTTCCAGTAATTTATTACATAATATTATTTAGCTAATAATTTACAATAATGTTAAATTGTAAAAAAAAAAAAAAAATTTTTGCATAGATACTGTTATGCCACCACTCATTAAAAATTGTATTCAAAAAAAGTTTTGATGAGCCCTATTGTTCGTTTTGTATCAATTACATTATGGTTTAGAATATAAGTCAAACTGATATTAATATTTACAAAGTTTTATTCTTCTGATGAATGATTTAAAAATATGTTGCAATTATTGCACTAATATGAATCTATCTATCCATCCATCCATCCATCCATCCACCCATCCATCCATCCATCCATCCATCCATCCATCCATCCATCCATCCATCCATCCATCCATCCATCCATCCATCTATCCATCTAACCATCTATCCATCTATCAAACCCGGAGATTGAGTCAAGTAGGCACATAGAATTGGTACACTAAAACATTCCGAAAGTTCCTGCGACGCTTTAGGTGCCAAGATATATCATCCACATGTTGTTAACTTGGGTTAGTGATCAGCATGGAAAATGGCGATTTGATGTTGGGAACCAGAGAATCCTAGAAGAATAATCCCAGGCCTTGTTGATTTCATCCTGCGAATACCAAGCCATCGTCACATTGTGTCGGACGGATTCAAGCACATATTAGTAAACCGGAACTTATTTGTAATAAAATCCAATTTGTTTTTATTTTATTAATTTAACAATGTATTTTACACTTAATTGGATTGCAATTTGGTAAAATATGACTAGTAAAAGTAATTTTGACCAGCCAGACAACATGTTTTATTGCATTGAGACCATACATATCAATCTGTAAACACCATTTAAAAAAATATGTGTCTACACATTATCGTCATATTGTCCCTCCCCTCCTGTTAGTGACTGGTAATCCTAAAATGACCAAATTTTCCAAAACCACCCCTCATAAAACCATAGCAAATCAAAACATTCAAGTACTTCAACAAGTTTTAACTGCAGTGTAAACCCAACGATATACTCTACTGAAACCGTTTATACTAGATTCGCATCTGACCACCTGCAATTTTCTTCTCACCCTTTATCGTACCAAAACTACCATGTACTTCCTCCTAACATAAACACTTAAATTACAAGTGGTATTCTTGCCTCGATAAGGTCTCGTAATTGTTGATGGTTGCGTTCACTTAATCTTCAAATGTAGCTTTGTACAAGCGTATCCTGGACGATTTCTTTGTTGTATTTGCTGAAAAAATTACCATCTGTTTCAAAAAATGTTTTTGGGCTGAAAACCTGAAAGCCAAAATGATCTTAAAGCATTAAAAAAAAACTTGTTAAAAAAGCATAATCATAATTTGGTTCCATTCCTCATGATAAAAAATGCTATGAAAGATCAAACAAGTCAACGGGTGTAATAAACGGATGTAAAGTTGGAGGATTTAATGGAGGAAGGGGTAAGATGATGTCTGTTTTCTTTGTGAAGGGAAGTTTAGGCGTGTGCGACGATTTTTTTTACGTTGCGTGCTGTTTGATGACCGGGCGTTTGGTCAGAGAGTTTGGATTGTCCTGGAAGGTTGATTTTAAGAACTTTTAATGGTAATCAACAAAACTTAAAATTACTTTAAAGTTTATATATACAAAAAAGAATATTATTGAATGTCTTTTAGAGTTCCTAATAAGAGGGAAAAACCTATAACACTAATACGTAAATACAATAAATGTAATCAAACTACAGTTAAAACTGAATAAATGTATCAAGAAAATAAATTGACATAAAAATTTTGTCTAAATAGAGTAGGACTGTTTTGAAATTTTTGTTGAAAATACTGACTTTTTTTTTTGTTGAAAATTCAGCTCCTTTGTTTCCCATATTTTCTTTAAGACAGCAAATGCTCACCCAGCCTTGCCAATTCTAGTCCTGACATCCGCTTCAGATCAACCATGTAAGTCAATGGTGCTGCCTAAGTAGGAGAAGGCCTCCAACTCTTCAAATGTATTTCTTACTAGAGAGATATGAGTCGGATTGGCTGAGTTTACCTTTATGATCCTTGTCTTTATTTAATATATATTATTTGATGTATTTATATATATATTAAAAAGGCAAGAATCATCATCGAACTTGATTTTTAATCTTCACCTCAAAGAAAATGATTGCTTTCCTTTTTGACGATACACGGTCTAGGGGCGAAGCTATTATTAGTGCATGAAATAGCAAAACAGGAACATACGATTAGAACGTTTCGGCATATAGCATTTTTCAGCGCACGGGGCAATTAAAATATCACCCAAAAAAAAAACAAAGCACAGTAAACAACTCAAGAAATATAAAAAAAACAATGATATGTTCATTCGTCCTGTTAACTGAAGAAGGCTTTGTGCCGAAACGTGCTAATCTTATTGTACTGTACTTAAATTCAAGCTTCCACATAACTTGTTTGGCTATTTCATTTACTTAGCTTGAAAGCAGTCCTTTAATTATTATATTATTAGTGCAACAATGGGAGCCAAATATTTTTGCCGCTCAGCCTTTAAGGATATAAACCGTGCAGTAGTCCGAAAATGCCGCACCTTCATATAAAGAAAAAGCGACACATGGGTGAATAATCTCATCCCGCCCCTTTCTAGGCGTAGCAATGGTGTTTGGTGTCAGGGAAACTTACGTATGCATAAGACACGAATTTTTCGAATGACACTAATAGTTTTTCTCACGGCACAATGGTATGGTGATTTAATAAAAAAGAAGAAAAACACGAGAAAAGGGAACTCGTTTTTATAGCGACGGATGCATTCACGTTGTGGAGTAAAGCCGGAAAGAATAAGAAAGCTTTGAGATAGAAGGATGCCATTTTACATTTTTCTGATGGCTTTACTGAATAAATAATTAGATACAGTGTTTAAAGTGTTTTTGTATTCTTAGCATTGCATCTATAATTGCTATAACATTGTTCTAATGTCAAGGAATCTTGTGATATATTTAGCATATATAAAAGGTTTTTGTTGTGTCTTGCGAATTTTTTGCTTTGCAGCGAAGATAGAGATAGATTGTAGGGTTGGCAAGTCATCACTTGCATTTAGAAAATGCAGTTTATTGTAATTATATATGCAATCATAAACGCATAAATTTCTATCAACTTTACAATCCATAAATGTTACAACCATGATTCTTTCATCCTCCCTGTCGACTCTGAAACTAAATTATTACAGCCATTAAAAATCACCAATCCCTTTTCGGTGCCCCGCTCCTTTGGCGTCCCGGTACCTATGTCCCATCTGCCACCACTTAGCTACGCCTGTGGCCACTGCCTACTGGCAACTGTAACTGACCACTGAAAATCTAAAATGCCCCCTCCCCACCTCGCGGAAATATCTAAAAGAAACACTGCGCTTAACCCCCTGGGGGATGCCCTTTGCTACTTTCACGGGGGCTGCCTTTGTATTTCGTCTGGTGCCTAGCTTTTTTGAACACATACCCACCCTACAAGGCAGAAGGTTTTGATTTAAGTCAAACCTGGGAATTTTTTTTCCCTAGTACCCATCATATATTGTGAGATTTCCTCTTTCCGTCACCTACTTATGCACGCGATGGAAAATCAGTATATCCGAACGAGTTAAATGAAAATACATTTTGAAAAAAAATATTTTAAAAGTTGGGAAAGAACATCCCTCCTATTAAATAACAAAACAGTAATATTTGCCCCAAGGTTACTAAATGAAATAATGTTTTTTTTGCCAATCTGTCACAATTTTAATAATTTTATCAAAAATCAACCCAATATACCTGCCAACGCCCGAGATTGAAATCAGGATTTTTTTGTAAAGTATTTTAGGTAACCTCAAAATCAAGGACCCTGTTAAAAAAAAAAAAAAACTGAAGTAAAAATTAAATAAAATGTTATGTATACCGTTATAGTTCGGATTCCATTTTAAGTGGGATTTTATGCCGGTGGTATTCGCTGAATTTATATCCCTTTTCTGTCTGATTTCCGTCAATCTTTGGTATCCCGTTTTATATTAGTTTTCTCATTTATAATAACTTTTCGTTCATTTATTTAGGATCCTGTACCACGATGCTATCACTTTCTCCGATGGAAGCTTGTGTTCCTGTTACCAATAGGATTTATTTCCCTCGTATTATCCTGCTCCTCAGTGGAATCCCACGTCATTGAGATCTCATTCGTGTTGGATCTACTTTCCATGGTGATATTGCTACCATGTAGGTTTAGGTTTTCTCAGTTTCTGTTCCGCGCTGATATTGATGAAGGGTGTGTTTACTAACTGTGATCAAGATTCATTAATACACATAGAGATGCTTAATGTAACCATAGCTTTCAACTTCACAATGTATAAAACTATGGCCATAATAATTGACAAATCATTTGAAAATGTATAGCAAAATTATCTTTAATAGTTTATTCCCAAACAAAATTGAGAGAACTTATTTAAAGTTATTAACTATAAATATTATTATAACCAAGATAGACTTAGATCCAGCAATTCACATATAACTTATAGTGTTAATTTTCAGCATCAAGGAAACTGACCGTGGTTATTTAAAATATAGCGTGCGAACGAATAGTTTTGAATGAATGCATCACGGCTCATGAACAGGCTCTTTAATTACAAAATAATACATATAGTCTGGTGAGGGTATGCGATTACTCTCTTACCCCGGCTGTTTAATTGGCTACAAAGTTGAACTGAGCTCCCCAACCAACCTGGCCTCCCCCAAAAAATCTAGTTACGGACATTCGTTTAACATATGCTTTTCTGTTTCCGGGGTTAAGCTGCAATGCCGGCAGGTAGGGCCCTGTTGTGATGAAGCCACCAAAAGTATGTGCCGATAGCACAGTGCTCAGTGTGGCTCTCTTGTCACTACTTGCGACCTAACTCCGACCATGGGTCTTGTCTGCTAGGAGTTGGTAAGAAAACGAAAAGTCCACCAACCAGTATTGATTCCCAGTACTGACACATCGTGCTAAGGCTGAGCAAAACAGTTTTTTCACCAGACTGACTTCTTTTTTATTACCACTGATGCAATGTTGACGTACCCTGTAATCCACTGTACTGTCACCAATCTCCCTAATTCACCGATCTTGAACACGTCATC